ACATCATTGTGCTTCTTGAGAAGGCAGTGGGAGCTGCTTTTCTTGTGTAATATCTTCAATTTGTAGTTGGATCTTGCAGTTAATCATTACTGACAATACTAACAACAAGCAAAGTATATTTGATTGAAGATAAAGCCCAGAAAGAGCGACTGAGAATAAGGCAATTTGGAATGCTTGCAAACAGGTAATTTTTTTTAATTTTTTTTAAGTTATTGTTCTTATTAGGTTAGTTTGCCCTGGTTTTAGTTTACATCCACTTCCCTGAGTCAGAAGAACTGTGGGAGAACAGGCTAGATTTTCTTTTGGTACATGCATTAATATTGGAAGTGTTTGTGAAAAAATTAGCTGGAAGCACACACCAGTAACATTCAGTTACTGCTCATAAATTAAACTGTTTGGGTCAAGGCTACTAAAGGCAATATACGAGACAACCTGAGTTTCATTTTTCAAAATGTTCACTCACTGAACCACTGAGAGAAGACCTTGGTAGTCCGTAACACGGTCTTTCCACTTGGAAAGAGTATTCATACTTAAGAAAGTCAGCATGTATTTTTAATTCATTCTCAGAAATTTTGATAAATGTTTTTCTCTTAAACATGCCTTAAAGCTGATGTCAGTGTTTCTTGCTCTCTAATTGTTGTTTGCCAACATCAGGAGCAGGTTCACAAAATAATCTTTCCTTACATGAGTAGATCTTACCCACATGATTTGTTCCAGTAAAATGAGTTATCTGTTTTAAATACTGCCTCTGAGATAAAAGGAGATTACAGCATCAGACCTCCCACAGAATTTGTCTGCCAGCTCAATTGTTTTAAAAGCACATGCCCAGCCTACTTTACCAAGCCTGTGTAACTGTAGTGGTTCAAGACCTGAAAATTAGTTGATGGCAAAATCTTAGATGACAATACAACTATTCTCTATAGAAAGAGGACAACTGTTTTGTCTGTGTCATGTGGTGAGGGAGGTAGGGTAGCTCTGTGAATTTAAAAAGAATAAAAGAGGAGAGGAGAGAAAATAAAAGATTGGCACCTTCCATTAGCACATGGTGCACGCAATTACCCTGCAGGCAGAGTTACAATGGCAGATACACTATGGCATAGATGGGTCTACACTTGCCCATTTAAAAAACTATTTCTGTCTTCCTTGCTGCTGTGTAAAAACCCAACCAACAACCAAACGTGGAAAACAAGCAAACAATAACCCAACTAATTATATCCTGTAAACAAAAGGCTGTAGACAAAAGAAAGGGTGTGGAGCTGCTTGTGCTTTTAACCTGTTATTTCAGTGGTATGACTCCTCTGCAAATCGCCACTTTCCTTTTAGTTCACTGGAAACATAAGCTTTGAATGTTTATTTGTTGACTAGCAGCTGAGTTAAATGGCTACTACAAAGAATGATAATAAAAAGGCAGCATCAAGATACAGCTGAAAATAAGGTGCTTCTAGCTGTCATGTAGGGTTTCTTCACAAAGTATCCCACCGCAGAACCAGCTCAAGGCTGCCTACCACACTATCCTCTCTGTGCTTCCACCTCATTAAATGTAGTCAGGGGTTACAAAGATGGTAATGGGTGAAAATGGAGCTGTGAGGCATTTCCTGGGAAGCCCCCCTTGACCTACCTTCCATCTTTTAATGTCCTGAAGTTTATTGAGTGTCAATTCAGTTATTTTGCGAAATTGTGAGAATGCAAGTAAGGTACTATTTAAACTTGTCATAGAATGAATGGTTTCTGATATGCAAGGGTTATTGGACATGATGGAAGTGAATTAAATTATAATTGAATGCAGCATCTTCATTCCCAGGAAGCAGCCCTTGCATTGCGAGAGTTTTTTAACATCTTCTGAAGTATCACTAACGTGTCCTAGTATTACAGTGACTCTCCATTTATGACACGTAATAAGCTTTCTCTAGACACTGCATATTAATAATACAGTAATGATGTGGCATTTGAACTACTTAAATGAAAGTAAGGTCTCCCTGCTGACACCAGGTGTAAGGTGCTTATGTTATCAAAGATAACCGCAAAGTGTGAGCACCATGTAAACGATTTTCTATTCCCATCTATTAAAGCTCTAGAAACTAGACAAATTATCAGTTCAAACACTGTAAAAACCACGCGGCAGTTAACAGAGAAGAGCAACAAAAATAATCAAAGTTGTGGACCATTCCAAAATAAATGTGGTAAAGCTCTTCAGCCTGGAAAATGTGACTGAGGGGGGAAAAGATAGAGGTAGAGAATAGGTGACTATGGATGAAATTACTGATGCTTCCAGTACAAAAATATCAAATTATACAAGGAGGAGACAGGTGCTGAGCAAACAAAATGAGATAATCCATCACTGAACTTGCACTTAGGCTGTAGAGCACCCTGCTACAGGATGATGCAGATCTCAGCAGCTCACCTTGGTCCAAAATACAAGGCTAATTTGACTTGCTTGACTAATTGCAAAATGTAAATGCCTAGAAAATAATGAAGGCACAGATGAAGGGAAAAATCTGCCGGGGAAAGAGAAGTACATTTGCATGAAGTCTTTGTCTAACTATCTGATTATTGGCAAAACTACAGCAAACTTCTAAAAGTAATTTAATGGATTAACCAAAATGAAAAAGCTGCTATGTAAATTACTTGCTCTCTTCTCCCAGTTCTAGTTAATAGTGACCAGAAACTGGAAAGAATACAAGTAATCATATGCAAACTGAAAGAGTTTTGATAAATTATTTCTGGGGTTTAATAATTTCTTGAAATGTTTTGTCTCATGCTCAAATGGTCTCATTTTACTCTTAAGATGTTTTCGTTAAGCTCAGCAACATATTTTCTAAGCCATATAAAATGAAATAGATACTCTTTGGGAAGCTATTGTTGTATTTCCCTTGATCTGTCAGCACATAGTATTTATGCATTTCTCTATGTTGCTTTGATAAAATATTGCTGATTTTAATCTATTGTATTCAGTGTATTTTCATATCCAGTGACTTAGAGATCACTGGATAATGGGAATATTGACAGGCCTGGTTCTAAGCTGTTGGCCATAAAGTGAGCTTTAATGATGAGTGTTTACAAAAGCTGGCCCGATGGGGAGTTTATAGAGGTGGTTCTCAATTAAGCAGAGATTGAGGGAAAAATCTTCGTGTGGCAAAGGTGGTTACGTGGATTAAAAGCACCAGTGTGTTTGCCTGGGGTAGGGGGGAAAGATATTTTCCTGCAAACCTGGCCTATTTTCTTCAAATAATCTCCAAGGAAACAGCCTATGCTGAGCTAGAATCTGATTACCAGTTGCAGGCCACAGACCATAGCCATTATTGTTTTGACATTTCTGCCTTCGTCTTTATCCCAGCGGGAACCAGGCTGTAAGGGCTGCTATGTAACTTGACCTTGCTTGGAGATGAAAAGACAGGTTAGCACACAGCTATCACAAAGCCAGAAGCAAAAAGACAGTATTTAGAAGATAAAGGAAGGAGCTGGTGTGGTACGATTATGTGTAATGTTCTATACTGTGCAGCATGGGTGGCCCGATGAACAGTGTCTGTCCACAAAACCCAGACAGAAACCTGGACTTGGTCATAGTTTCTCCATTTTTAACCTTGTTTGTGCAGAGATGCTGTGATTTTCATCATTGAAATACTAATGATGATGATTTCCTGCAACACTGGAGATCATGAAAAAAAAAAAGGAAAGGAAAATGGAGGGGGAAAAAAGAAATCTGCATAATATTTTAGTGCTTTCGGTAAACAAAATTAATAGTAAATCAGCAGAAAGAGCTGAATATGAATCTTTAAGTCTTTGCTGTTGTTTTACTACTGTCCTCTGAGCTTTGCATGCAATAAGCCAGTGAGCCCAGTGTCAGCAGCAATTAGGCATGACATATCTTAAAACATCTCAGGGATGCCAAAGAAAATAAAAGCTCAGTGTTAAGCATTCAGCATCTAAAAGCTGAAAAAAGTGGTATGACAATTGTACATCACGCAAGTGGTCACTGTCAAAACCCAACCAAACCACAGCTGCAAGGCCACAAGGTCCCAGTTAAATCATGGTGGAGGCAAAGTGAGTGATAGATTTCCTTCAGCTTCTCTCAACCACCACCTCATCTCACAAAAACAAAGCAGTCCAAAATTCAGCTATGATTTCATAAAGATTTCAAGCTAAGAGCAGTAGAAGCATGTTTTTTCATATCAGACCATATGGCAGATAATAAATATCTGGTTCTGATCGCTGATAACGTCCTACATAGGCATGGGCAGAAAATACAGTTTCTGTAATCAAGTTTCCTGACAGATAATGCCACGTCATTCTTCACACGTCCTCACTCCCTCTCTTGTATCTTTAGGCTGTAAGCTCTTCAGAGCAATTACTCTTGTAGTGCTCTGATCACAGAGCATTACAGTATGTGTCAGACCAGAGAAAGGAGTTGCAGCCTGGTTAGCTTTAGTTAGGCGGGGCTTCTGGTTGCATTCTTGCATTTATTTTGAATGGCTCCTCAAAATTATACAAGATTCTGATTAAAACCACAACAAAACGACCTGCAGCCCCACTGATGTCAGTGGAAAGAACTGGTGCTTATGAAGAGGTGGCTCATTTGAAGCTTTCCAAATCCCAGTTATTTTTTCCAACTATTATTTACAGGTAGCAGAACAGATTTTGCATCTTGTGCCTTTGGAGTCATTGAAACCAAACCAGGATTAAGCTGCTTGGACCATCAAACCTGACTTTGTCCTGCAAATAGGGAAAAAAGATGTACCTTCACCCACCTCAAAAATGCTTGAGCTTCTCAACAGAGACAAAGAATTAAGTTTCATGGTGTATTTGGAAAGCTTTCTTTTCCTCATCATTTTACCTTGTGTGAATTGTGTATACTCCAAAAGGGGTGACCAGAAAGCAAAAATTTTTAGAGAAGAAACCAGCATTAGGCCAGGTTACAGCATCCTGCCACAGCTACATGGTTCCTTTTTAACTACTTGATGGAAAAATAAATTTATTTTCTTTGTGTTTTTCCCTCCTTCCAGACTCTGACAACACCTGCTCCATTTGCTGATGAAACAAGCTGTCAGTGCCAAGCCCCCCACGAGAAGCTAACCATCGCACAAGCCCGCCTGGGAACACCAGGTATGTGGAGAGAGCTACATCTGCAGGACCATGGGTGCTCCCAAAGCACAGGCTTTCCCTTGTATCTGTCAATGCCCTCTTGTGCCTTCCACTTGGAAGCAGAAAGGCCAGCCTGATATCTGGTGCTATCAGGTAATGGGGAAGAAACCAGCAACTACTGGGCCATTATCTTCTATTAGAGAAAAAACAAGAGAAAACATTTTGAGTTTAATATTTTCATGGATGTCCACATGTTGGTTGGAAGGAAGGCTCACCAGCCCGCCCCAGCCAGCCTGAAAATTGTTTTGTGTAATGGCTACCTCCTGGTGTGATTCTCTTCCCATACTGCCCCTGTATGCTGGAAAACTTATTTCGCTGATGTTGTTGTTGATCACATCAGACCTTCAGTGGCCTTAAAGGACATTTGCTCTCTGCGAGGAAACCATGCCCATTTTCTTTATCTGGATATTTGTGATTGGGCTGCGAAAATGGGACAACTTCACATAAAGTCCCAAATACATACTTCAGCTCCCCCTAAATTCCAAGAGACTATTAAAAAAAAAAAAAGCCTTTGTTTATTTATTTTTTTTAAATAAATTTTCAAATTGTGTACACTTTATACGGGTAAGCTACAGCTTTCCAGTCAGCTCAGCAAGGACAATGTTCTTCCTTGGATGTCCTGACAGCAGAGACATCTCTCTGTAGCACTGAAGTACAGTCCATGGAGGTTGGAGCTCTGTTGCTCTCATCTCTGCTGTTCTTTTGCTCGGAAGTGGCACAGCTGTCAGGTGTGTCATTTGGTAAAGCAAGTCCTTTTTCTGTTTGGAGGCTGCTGCTGAAGGTGTTGTACAGAAAGTAAGAGTTGTAAAGGTGATAGCAGGAGGATGGTACAAAAAAGAAATTATAGGCTTCTTAGAGAGAAGAGCTTGGTGGAAGTATGAAAGAAGTGAAGTGAAAGTTTATGTGGAAGACACAAACAATACATTTTTACAGCACTAAGCTGTGGAAAAAAGAAAGTCACAGAAAAGAGAGGAGGAAAAGGGAGATGATAGGAAAATATAAGGAAAAAATTGAAAAATCCAGAAGGTAGAACTGACTAGAAAGGCAGAGAGAGAAGAACAAGACATATGGTGGAACCCTGAACGAGGCAGGAAGATGACATTTTTGCTAAATTAGAATATAGGGATGATGGATGATAATAAATACACTAAGTCTAAGAGAAAACAGCAGGGAGCACAGAGAAGAACAAGTAATGAGCAGGATAAAACACTCCAAGTTCACTCATGGTGCCTTTGAGCATCAGAACTGGGGTAAATCTCCACAATCATCTGGGAACAAAAACCTGTCCAGTACTATTAAGTGCAACTTGTTCGGGGTCTGAAAAATTACTGTTGTGTTTCTTTCTCCACAGTTGACAGACCTGTCAGAGTGTATGCAGATGGGATATTTGACCTCTTCCACTCTGGCCATGCTAGAGCTCTTATGCAAGCCAAAACTCTATTTCCAAATAGCTACTTACTAGTAGGAGGTAAGATCAGAGTTATTTATTGCGCTGGATTTTTGCTTCTGTGCTTCAGTATCAGAGAGTTATTGCCATATCCACACCCCCAGCTGTTTAGACACTACGACTTCGAATGCTACTTTCACTCTGGGGGCTTTCTATAGGCCATTTGCCTTGAATTACATCTTACAATTGCATCAATTAAAGTAAAAGTCAAATTCTGCCCTCAGCAGTACAGGCACAATTCCCATTTTGTTAAAACAGGTGCCTGCGTGACTCTGAGCTTAGAATAGCTCCATATGAATAATTTACCTTTTTCAGTTATTCACTCAAAATTGTTCAAAGATGGAGATGAGTGAATGAGATCAACCACTCATTTATTTCTGGCTCCTCAGTCCCTCTGCCAGCCAGGCACAGCCCACAGTCCCTGCCTGCCAGGTCAGTGTGTGTGCGCAGACCCAGCCTTCCATATCAGCAGAGAAGCTAAATTTGGCCTGTTATCATTGGAGACCGAAATGTAGGTCATGATTTGAATGTAGTTTTTAGCTCACAAGTGTCTCCGGGCAGGTTACTTTCTTATCAGTATTTCTGCTATGAGTATCTTCTTTTCTTGCTGTGTGGCTGGCTAACAGCTGTTCAGCAGTTGGTACGTGCCTGAGTCGTCACCGGAGGGTCGCTCTTTCCTGCCTAGCTCTACTCTCATGAGGCCTCATAAACATGCATTTCAGTTCCAGGTTCCCTGCACCTTTGGGGCTCAGATATGCCTCATGTAAACATTTCCCAGCAACCTTCAGCTGCTCAAATCCTTACAGCAGTGATGACAAAGCAAATGTGAATGCAGCCTTCAGACGCTTCTTAAGATGCATTGTTTTGCATCTTTGTCCCAGTCAGTCGAAAGGGGGGAAAAAAGACCCAACGTAGAGGAAGAGCAAAATCTCCTTGTAAACACACTTTCTGGGTTTACTCGTAAATTTATGAAATGTGGTAATTCCCTTGGAAGGAAAGGAGATATCCCTTTATTATGAAAGAAACATTATGACTCTTATTTTCTTGTTGAGCCAGATAGCTTGCACAAGAAGACAGTGAGGTTTCAAAAAAATAAAAGTTACATAGGTTTTGTTGTTGCTTTTAAAGGAGTGAGGGGTGTCCCAGATCAGTGAAGTTGCCCTGGGGCAAAAACCTGGCTCCTTTGAAATTCATGGCATAGCTTCATTTTGCCCTTATTTTTGGAGTGAAGGACAAAGCAGCCAGCACTCATCAGCACCTTTTCCCAGCAAGGCACTGTGTCTTAGCACATTTGAAAAATGGGCACCTTTCCACACCCACATACAATTTGTGCTGCAAAAGCACCGGTGTCATAAGTCTTTGTGTGCACCACAACCAACCCCTTCCATTTCTCATTGTGAAGACAATTATTTGGAGCTACAATTGTTATTTTTTTAATAGGCATTTACACCTTCCCAGATCAGTCATTAGAGCAGGATGACAGAATCAAAAGGAAATGAAGATATTGTGTCTACACTGTACATGAAAAAAAGTAATTAAAAAAAATTCAAACCTTTCTACAGAATTCAAGCAAAAATTACTGCTTTCCAATAGTTTTAGTAGACCCTTTTTTCTAGGAGACGGTAGCTTTAAGATGACATAAAGTCTGTAAATAAATATAAATACAATCTCAGAAGGGATCTTTCTACTGAAAATGCTTTGATCTCCATTAAATTTCTTGTCTGCAGGCATCAAAAGTGACATAATAGGATAGAGTATCATTCTGCTAGCTGGAATTCATATGCGTGTTACTATCTGGCTTCGAATTTTGCACGTACTCCAGAGCCTTCCTATGTTTTTCCTACTATAAGGGTCCTTAACGACCATCACAGCAAGAACATCCAGTTTAGATCTCAAAAAAGACAGCATCTTTCCAGCGCCTTGCCTGACAGGTTGATGTTTTCAAATGGGAAAGAAGCAGCAGCTTAGGGCTGCTCTCACACTTCCTTGCAGCACTAATAACATTGCATTTATCATTTATCAAGTACGATTACTGTTTATCCCAGTGTCACAGACAAGTGAGATGCAAAGGCACAGGTTTGACCTCTGGTGAAGGACCACCACTGTCAACCCAGCTCTAAATGGGTATCACATTATTCCATCTGGAGTGTCAAATGACTATTGTAGCTGTAATATTGGACAGAGTTACAATGGGGACAGGTTACTGTTTTATGCAACATTATGTGAAAGATAGCAAATAATACCCAACTTTTACAGTCCTCTGGTAACACCGGTGTTGCTTCTCCTCATTTTAAAAGCAATGTGACAAAGCATCGGTGCATTCAGAGTTAAGGACACAGGATTTATGGGCTTTTAAATCTGCACATTCCACTAGGGCGTAGGGCTTCTCCCAGTCCTTTCCATGGCGATTCCTTTTGTGGTTTCCACAGATGGCCTTATTTCTCTTTCTGTGAGACCTGCTGAA